ACCAGAGCTAACATTAGCTGCAAGAGTGCTGGTACAGACGCCAGAGCTGACATTAGCTGCAAGAGTGCTGGTAGAGACACCAGAGCTAACATTAGCTGCAAGAGTGCTGGTTCAGACACCAGAGCTAACATTAGCTGCAAGAGTGCTGGTAGAGACACCAGAGCTAACATTAGCTGCAAGAGTGCTGGTTCAGACACCAGAGCTAACATTAGCTGCAAGAGTGCTGGTAGAGACGCCAGAGCTAATGTTAGCTACAGCAGTCCTGGTACATACACCAGAGCTAATGTTAGCTACAACAGTCCTGGTACAGATGCCAACACTCACGTTAGCTACAACAGTCCTGGTACAGAAAACAGAGCTAATGTTAGCTACGTGAGTCCTGGTACAGACACCAGAGCTAATGTTAGGTACAGCACTGTTTGTATCAGGAGATAAATATTTTAGGGTGGAGTCCTTCTGCCACGGGACTACAGAAAAACAGTAGAAAAGAATTCAACTGTAATCTCCGAACACAAGAAAGCCTGTGTGCTCATGGTCCGGCCCTGTTTACGCTCTGCTGCGCAGAAAAATCTCTTACCAAAAAAAAACAAATGAGTCACTGTGGTCTAGACACGTGCACATGACTGCAGCCAAACCTCATCGACATTTAATAAAGCTGTGTCAAAGTCAAGTCAGCTGTGGATTAGTGTTCGTCTTACATTGCTCTCTACTCCACTGTAGTCCATGGGGGGGTACAGACACAGGGCCAGATCATCGACACTATGGGGGGGGGGAAAAAAGAAACAGGGTCAATTTGAGTGCAGAAAATCACAAGAAGAAGAACATAGAGGCGTACAGAACCACAGAACAGAGAAGGTCCAGGACGGTTTAAGCCCGACTGTTGATGCTGGTTAGAACAGGGATCCCTGTCAGCTGTACGGTGGTTATGCAAGTTATGAGTAAGCAACTTTTGCAAGATTTTCCCCTCCTCCCGATACCAGAAAACATCGCGCTCCAACCGAGCTCCATTTTTTTCCCACTCGACGCCGTCACGTTCGCCGTCCCTCGCTGGGTTATTTTGACCCATTTTTATAACAATGATATCAAATGTTTTTCCTTATTATGAATTTATATTATCAACATATTTGTTTATATCTATGTTTTTGATGTTAGGGCGGATTTTAATTTAATTTATTAATAGTATATTTCTGGGGGCTGGAAGGAATTCATTGGTTTTTTAGTTCATTTTTAATGGGGGAAAGTGCAGTTGTGGAACGGAATAAACGCTTGTATCTTGAAGCCCCACTGTACTCAAACACTGATGTAATAGATACAAAACATGTATGTGTGTGTGTGTGTGTGTGTGCCCACCCAGGACTTATTTCCTTAACGACATCAGCGAGGTCATCCAGCTGGGACAGGTTCTGAGCCGTGGTGACATCACCGTTGGCCCTGACCGCCGACGTCAGCTTCCTGATGCACGCTGCCGACGCCTTCATGAGCCCCTGGCAGGGGCCAATCACACGCCGGTCCTTCTCTGACCAGTAGGTGTCCTGGTTGTCTCGGGGCTCGTCTGCGTCCACGTCGTCCAGGACGTCATTGAACGGATCCTGAGCCTCAGACAGGGCCTGGAGACAGGAGTGAGATCAGTTCGTTTTTTTGTATCGTACCGTGTTCCATATTTTTACCATGTGTTGCAAGTCACGAGCAAGTCTCAAGTCTTTGCACTCAAGTCCGAATCAAGTCTCAAGTCTTTGCACTCAAGTCCGAATCAAGTCTCAGGTCCAAACAGGCAAAGTCCGAGTCGAGTCGTCAGGACTGAAAAGTGTCAAGTCGAGTCCCAAGTCCTGCCGTTTCTGTTTTCGAGTCCTTTTTCGAGTCCTTCCACTCACTCCCACTCCTTTTTTTGTTGACCATCTCGTAGTTTTTAAATCCGAACAACGCGATCTTTGGTCTCATTTTCTCTAACCGGCGCGTTGTTCGACAGCTCTTTCTCATTGGTTGTCCCGCAATTTGATTGGCTCGATATTATCTCGTCAAAACAACGTGGGTCTAATTTGATTGGATGTTGTGCCGACAGCACACACGTACACAATGAGAGATATAGAGCGCTCCTCAATAACTTACTTTATAATCTTTGGGTTTTGGAGAAAGTATCAAGTCTTGTCGAGTCAAAGGGCTCGAGTCCAAGTGAAGTCACGAGTCAT